CCCCCCATACTGCTGCCTCTCTATTGGAAGCACCAGCATAGACTGGGGGAGGGAGAGGGGGGAGCCGATACATGTTGTTAACCAGCTTTTAACACATGCTCTTGGCACATGCTGGCTCTGCAGAGCTGCATGGCTCCCTCTCCTTGCTGCCTCCCATAAGGAATCCCGACCCTGGGATGCCGATGTAGTCCATGGCAAGCCCATGCTGTTGTGGACAGAGGCTGCTCTGTGGGATCCTGGTGCAGTCTCTGTCTGCAGGGAGCCCGGGCCCCCCATGAAGAGGGGCTACTGCCACCCTTGTATCCGAGGTAGCAGCACGGGGCCGCAGGCAGCCTCCTGTCACAGACTGGCTCCCACATGGCATCCCATGCTGCTGCCTCTGATACAAAGGCAGCAGCGCAGGGTGGCAGGCAGCTCCCCAGGAAGGGGGCCAGAAGTATACTGGCTGCCAGCCCCATCTCCAGGAACTATCGAATCGTCGTGATAATTTACCACTTATTACCTCTGGGTAGATCTCTGTAATTATTCACTGTTATTTTAGCCATGTGGTCTCATTATATGAGAGAAACAAGATGGGTGAGCTGCCTTACGATCATAGGACTGGAAGGGACCTCAAGAGGTCATCTAGTCCAGTCCCTTTCACTCATGGCAGGACTAAGTACTGTCTGCACCAGGGCTACTCAACTTTAGAAGACTCAGGGGCCACAATGATACTCACATGTGCCAAGGGCCCCAACTTAAGTGTGGTTGCCTATACATGCAAATATATATGCAAATAGATTCTTTCACACTGACGGGTATGAATACAAAGATTAAGGCAAGACTACACAACATGCAGGCCCCATTTAAGTCAGTTCTGTTGATATTAGTAAAATGTAATATTTACCTGATTTCCACCCATATGACAGCACTTTTAAAGACCAATTGCAGTCCAGGAATTTAACTACTAACCTTCCTTTAAGGAACGTATCTTTGTTTTTCTTAAATTGCTGTCAGGTGGATACAAGTCTTTGAACTCAGCATGACAAGATTCATGGTGCCGTTGCAGATTTGTTTTCTTTAAAAGAAGACACATTGGTTTTCCATTTATCTCTACAAACGTGAATTCCCTCTCCCAAACAGAGTTGAAAACCCAGAGTTCATCCAATAAGCCTCTCTTCTTTGTTGCTATTTTTAATGCTTCTTATTAAAAAGAAAATTGTATACCAGGCTACATCTAGACTGCATTGCTTTTCTGGGATACCAGAGGTATCCCGGAAATGCAACGCCACATTCCAAGGAATGCATCTGCTTTTCCAAAAATTGTTTTTAAAAAAAGCAGGCGCGCTCTTTCATCATCCCTGTGAACTGTGTTCTACAAGGAATAAGGGATGTGTTGAAAGAGCATTTTTTTCCAAAATTTGGCGCTGTGTAGCTATGCCAAATTTTGGAAAAAACCTCTTTCTAAAGTAAATCAAAAAAAGATACGCAATTTGTGGTTTCTTTTTCCGATTTAACATTGGCATGTAGACCTAGTCCCAGTGTTTTGGATGTTTAGCTTGAAGCTTCAGGTTGTGCATTTCTTGGAGTGATTTTACTGTAAAAAGAAAAGTTTCCAAGCCAGAGAACTCCAACCTGCAGCATGCGGGGAGCTGAGCAAGTCAGGCCGGACATTAGAGGCAAAAAAGGGCAGGTACCTGGGAGCTCCATCCTGGATTCCAAACAGGGCTGACATCCCCATACGGGAGTCCGTCGCTCCGTGCAGGACAGAGGCAGGGCTGCCCGGCCGTAGCGCCAGACCCAATGCGGCCAGTTTGAGCCAGCCACCTCTCATGCTCTGCCCACAAGGCTAAGCAGTCAGCACTTCCCACAACGCCCCAATGCTCCTGGCATCTCTTTCCTGGAGGCTAGAAATGCCAACACCCTGTACCTGTCTTTTCTAGCCAGCCTGTCTGCTTGCACCTCTCAATGCTCCCCCTGCCTTGGAGTTGCCTCGCCGTTGTGGAGCGTGTTCCCAGTGGAAGCCATGTTCAAAAGATCCCACCCATGGGCACCATATTGAGCCCTGTGTAAACCCAAACTGCACCGTGGGCCACAAACAAGCGGGCTGCATGTTGAGTAACCCTGATCTACACCATGCAAGACAGGTGTTTGTCTAACTACTTTAAAAATCTCTACTGATGGAGATTCCACAACCTCTCTAGGCCATTTAATCCAGTGCACATAGTAGCAGTTATCAAGTCTTTTCCTACTTAGGGATGTTAGATATCATGTAATTGAATATTCATGTAACCACATGGAATCTTAGCAGTTACATGAGTATTTGATAGTCCCTGGGGTAGGGCCAGCTGTCAGTGTGCTACTGGCCCCACTCCTGGGGAGCACCCTGCCACCCTATGCGGCTGTCTCTATATCAGAGG